TATGACATTGGCAACACTAATGACAGACTTGAAAGACGCACGTAAAATTTGAAGATAAAATGACACCTTTAACAAACAAAGTAAGAAGTATCTGACTTTCCTTATGTCTTTGTCCACTGCACTGTCTCAAATGATCTCTTGTTACAGGAGGCACTTCAGAGACAGTACATTATTTCAAAAATAAAAGCGTTTTGTGTAGCAGTAACACCAATGACGTAATTTTGGGTGACTGACATGATTTATTTGATATTACAAATAATTTGCGTTTTTTTTTACCATTTCAGTGTTATATTTAATGCTTGTAATGTTATGTAAATATAAATTAGATTTATTTATTGAAAAAAAAATCTTTTAAATTAAAACTATTGGCTCCACTTCCATGTATGATCAAAGTGACAAGGCAGTTCCTTGAACTTGGCATTTTAAATAAATTGCAATTTACGTATAAAACAATTTTTTATAAATGTTTTATTTAGTACCATTGCAAAGACAATCTCTATTTATTCAACATATATAATGAATGTGAGTATTAGGTCAACGTCATGTATTTTGGTATCTGCAAAAGTAAGGGACATCACTTCCACCTTTTCTGTAGAATGACCCAATACACAAATGTATTCTGGCAATAAAATGGCATTTATACTGTAACCTAAACAGCATTATGATGTATTAACCAGAAGAAAAGCTTTAAATTACAATTTATAAACACTTTGTTCCCAAATGATGCACAAGGGGCATTTTGAAGCAGTCCAGGTATTCCAAAAGTATGATAATTATTATTATTATTTTATGTATGTATCTTTAACATTGACCCTTCTTTGCTATTCACAAAGGCTTTGTCCCAGCAGCTGCCCTCATTAATGATCTTTTTAATATTCCCTCTCAGGTGGAGGAAGCCTTGTGTCTGTTTGTTGCCCGGAGTGGATAAAGGATACTCATAAACAGCTGATTAATGCACTGACATTTCTTTGATTGGCACTCCAGACAGAGACCCCCCCTCCCGATAACTCTCTGTTGTCCTTTTTATTTCTGTTACTTATGCATTCAGTCTCTCTACTTTACCTTTCTTCTCACTGTCTATTATTGTTTCCCTCTCTCATTCATCCCATATTTATTTTTCTTCTATTTCCTTCTTGAAATCTATTTTCTGTCTCCGTCTTACTTTCCTGTTTTACTGTGTCTCTCTCTTCTGGCTCTTTACCTTTTGTTTGGTTTGGTTTACCAGCCACACAAAAAGAAAACAAACAAAGAAACCCCAGGGGGCTTTGAAAAACCTAGCTGGAAGAGACACACCTGGAATGGATAAGAAGGGATAATTGGTGCAGAGCTTTGTTTGTTTGTTTTACTTTATTCTTTATTTTCTTACTTCCTTCCCTCAATCCCACCTTTTTATACACTTTTTTTCCTATTTCCTTACTCCTTAAGGATTTTCCTTGAAGTCAAAAGTATCTATTTACTCCACTACAATTTAGAGGCAACTTTTTTGCTTTATACTATTTGTATCCGATAGCCTTAAATACTATGAAAATTCAGATTCAGCAAGTGTGTTTCTCTCCATATCTCTCCCCACAAACAAACACAGAACTCTGTCTCTTTCGCAACGGAGAGAATTGAATTTCTTCTTTATTTTCAGACAATTTCTTCTCGCTGCTTCATTTACACACACTGGCATTTATTGAAATGTCATTGTGGAAGAGAAGTCTTGTGATTAAAAATGCAGCCCGGCATTTTTCATTGTCAAGAAATATTTGCTTAAGAAAATAGAAGTTAACTACAACAGACACTTTTCTGTTCATAGACATTTTCTCACAATATCCTTAGCTCTGGGAGAAGTATTTCCTTGTCTTAGACTTACAGTAGAGACTACATTTTCTGGTAGTGAAACGGAAACCTGTTTAAGCTTTTGTATTAGACACATAAGCTTGAACATCATTTTCAATATCGACTGTCAATTGCCAAAACAGTCATTTTATTTTAAGCTTGTGTGTCACAGTTTCTTAGTCATACTGTTAGCAGGTAAAGATGAAACACAGATGTAAGTGTAATTCCAGAATTGTAATGCAGGCACACATTTTAAGATGTCATGCACCTAAAGACAAGGACTGAGAAGACACAGGCTGGTGCCAAATACAAAAACAGATGCTACTGTACATCTAAATGTATGCACATACATTTTCGAGGAATATATGATTAGGCATTCTCCTCCTTTATCATTAAAACACTTAATGAGAGTGTCTGAACCTTTTCTAGACTTGATGTTACAGTTTTTATTTTTATTTGCCATCCATCTGTAGGATAAGATGCTTGAAAAACAGCTTGCATTTTGATAGCCGACCAGAATGTGAATGGATGTAAATAAGTAAACAAATGTTTTAAACTGGAAACAATGCTAAAAATAGATAAATATATTCAAGGTCAATGTAAGGGTTCCTGGGGAAGTAGGTTTTATCACTACTACTGTAAGAAAGCGTATATACTCCCATATATTTATATGGCTTAGCTGATTCACGCATTTAGGTGTCAAGATTTCTTAATGTCCCGTTAGCTACTGACCTTACGAGGTTGCTTACAGACTCACTTACTGTCATTTACCGTTTTGGTATTTAGACTTATTGTCTTAATAGCGACTGAGCTAACACGCTTGCTAACTGACTCACTAACTGACTCACTAACTGACATTTAGTTTAAAGGTAAAAAGTCTTATTGTCTCACTGAGCTAACACACTTGCTAACTATCTCACTAACTGACTCACTGACTCACTGACTCACTAACTGACATTTAGTTTAAAGGTAAAAAGTCTTATTGTCTCCATAGCGACTGAGCTAACGTGCTTGCTAACTGACTCACTGACTGACATTTAGCATTTTGGTATTTACACTTATTGTCTCATTAGTGACTGAGCTAACAAGCTTGCTAACTGACTCACTTACTGATATTTAGCATTTTGGTATTTAGACTTTATCATTATGCAGAAAACTGGTTTGACTGGTGTCTTAGTGCTGATTTACCCCTTATAATGTAGCACACAGAGTCTCACAGTGGAAATACTTGACACATTCACATATATCTTGCTTAGCTCTTGTCTGCCACAGGCAACACTCTAGTTCAAGCAAGCCATGCAGTCAAACTGTTAGTGGTTTTGCTGTTTTGGGATTTTACCATTGGAAAAACACACGGGGTCGTCACAGTGTGAAGTGTACTCTTTGGATGGGATGGCAGGTGATTGACAGCATGAAGATGGAGAAGAGGTGAAGGGGTGAGGGAAGAAGGAGAGCGGGGAGAGGAGTTACAGATGAGTGTCTTTGATGTGTGAGGCAGGACTATCCCTTACATTGATAGTCCAAATACATGGTGATGTGTGGTAGTGGTGGGAGTGATAAGGAGCTGATATGAGTAGAATTGATTGAAATATCATTATCACAGTAAATTAACTTCACTCCCGAATTCACCTGTGACAAAATCAAAGGGATTGATTTCCTGTTGTTTGGTTGGAAGATCGTAGGCAGTTTGACCTTTGTGTCAGCTCTGTTTAGATCACTACAGTGCATGCTAATGCTTTACCATTATGCTTATGTGACTTTTTATTTTTCACCTGATATGAACTGCACCAGTTAACATTTACATTGTGTTTTCCTTGTATTGTTTGCCTATACTTGTGTACTTTTCAAATTGTAATTTTGTTTCACCTTTGCTGTAATTTTATAACCCTTCGAAGACTTATTACGTATGTGAAATTCTGACACCAAGGGTTCATTTTACTGTACGTTTACAAGCCTGAATATTTTTTGTCTGGAACCAAGGAAGCAAAACAGCAGGGATCCAAGTCAGTTACTGCATATTGAAGTTTTAACACTTTGTTCTTCTACGATTTGAACAATCAAATGTCAATAAGAGCACATTGGTGCATTTTTCTATTTTTGGACAGAGGCAGGCTAGCTGTTTCAAGTCTTCATGCTAAACTGAGCTAACCGACAGCCGACTGTATAGTAATATTATGTTTAACCTACTGAAAAGAGAGTAAAAAGATTGTAGCATTTCCCACAACCTCAAACTTTTGCTTTTTGTGTCAACATTTTTAGTTCAGTGTTTTGATGGAGTAATTAACATCCTGGATTCAGTGGTAACCAAAACAAGAGAAGATCCCAGCACAGTTCACTCTTGCTTTCTGCTGTTATGCTGCAATCAGACGTTTCTCATTATCTCAAAATATTAATTATTGGCTGTGCACTGCATAGCCTGATCACAGTGCCAGTGAATAGGCAGTCTTACAAAGGACTGAAAACGTTTGAAGGATATCTTGACTGCTGCATTCACTTTCATTAATCAATAACATAGTTGCGTTCACATGTGATCTCACGACAATTAAGTGATTAAACTGGGATCAGAGAAAATGAAATTTGATCACTCAAGACAATTAAGAGCTGCTGCAGATTAAAGGATTAGAAATATATGAGGAAACTAAGCTGCTTTCAGTTTCTGGCAGGCAATGTATAGAACTTTAAAGAAGTACGTGAACCGGAGAAATTGTCATTTTAAATGGAATAACTACATGTTTTATTCAACAAATTTTTGAAAAATCCCTGTGACTGTGTTATTATGCATGTTAACAACCGGAAGTGCAATTTCAATCCATTCTACCAGTGTATGACATTTAAGTGAAATGAGAAGGAGTGGATTAACCATGTACACAGCTGTATTTCTACACTGGTACATCAAATGTTAACTGGTAGACTAAGCGATGTTAAACTCAAGGTGACAATGTGGGTGTGAGAACATTTCACTCCAGTATGTCATTTTCAATATATCCGTCTGTCCAACGAAGGGGAAGCACACAACACACCGCTTTAACCCAACCAGAATCAACCCTTGTGCCTCACATACAAAAATTGCTCTATTGACTCTGTAAATGTAATACAATGTCTATATAGACAACATGTGTTTGATTTTAAGGGCAATTATGTGAAATTGGCTCAATCAGGTCGAAAACAGTAAAAACTAGACTGTATATTAAAGGCTTAGAAAAATAAAAAGCATGATTTTATATTGTAACGGTTGTGGGGTCAGGGGACATTGTGTTTTTGAAGGGGGTCTGTATTTTAGCTAGATTTATAGGAGCTGAGATGGACTAAAACCTCACATCTGTGCCAACATGTATGCCAGAAAAGCTACTCCTTAAAACAACCATATTTATCTTAAAAGTAAAAAGACAAAAATGTATCTCGTGAGACACAAGGGTTAAAGCACACACATGTGGAGACATTAACATTCATGTGTATTGAATAGATTAACGAGATGGTGTGTGTCCCCTAACAAGACACATGGACATTGAAAATGATGACCTTCATGAGAGCACGTCCACTTTTGAAGTCTGCTTCAAAAATGCTTGAAAGGTTGTTGAAAGGTGCTCAAATGAAATATGGATGTCTAAATGACGTGTGAAAAATGGGTATAAGTGAGTGGAAGAAAAGTGACATAATTAAACATCACAAGCATATTATAATCATGGAATTGTTGAATAGTAAAACGTATAGAAAAGCTATACTTTAAATACAAAGTAAATATAAAAACATAATAAAAACAAATAATCAACTATGTCTCGTTACCTGACAGAGTTTTGTAGTCGAGCAGATCAAAGAGAACGATGGCGACGCCCGACCATGTGAGGATCAGAGCCACAATCAGCAACCAGGCCATCGGTGAAGTAAAAGTCAAAATGACATCATCCAAAAATGTCCTCTGATTGGTCCGGGGTGGAGGGACCACCTCCTCGTCGCTGGTTTCACTGCTCATTGTTGAAAAGATCTGAGGACAGGAAGAGGGGTCAGTGGAACAGAAAAAAGGAGAAAAAAGGAAAGTAAGAAAGAGAGAAGTGTGAAAGTGAAATGGATTTCTGAGGAAAATTGTATAAATTGAGTGAAGGTAGATTTTTGTTTCACTTATAGAAACGCTGTGGCAGAGGCCTGTAGTCTCCTAGTTTTCTTGGGGTTCATTGCTTTTCAAACACATCTACCCAAGTTGGTTTGTATCTATTGTAAATGATATAATATGGGTTTTAGCTACTTTACATATGGGAAGTGTACGTGAGAGTGAGTACTCGCACAATCAGCTTTTCACAATATGCCCTGTTAACTTGAATGATCTTCGTCTGTTGTCCAATAAACAATGAAAATCACACCATTTTTTTTCTTGGCTGAGACTGTAGTTATTTAAGCCTGTAAAAACTGCTGAACTTACCATTACATTGGTCATTATCTATGATCAAAACTATGGGAGTCAGAAGCCGGTGCAAATAGCATCTGATCCAGAAGATTTTAATAAAAAATTACGCTTTTGCGTTAGATTTCTGTTCCATGAGGAATCCTTGGGAGTGTTGTGGGGGTGGAAGGCCTTTGGTTTCAAACCACAGGGTTACAGTCTGATGTTGTTGATGATTTTGGCATTTCACCACCATTCACCAATTTCTATAACTTCATTTTGTTTTGGATATGAGTAATCCACAACAGGCATTCTGCTGGAGTCGTGTTATCATTTATTTTGATCAATGAACACAACAGCTGTTTATTCACATGGTGAATCATTCAAGTATGTTTTCCTTTGTGAGAGTGAGAGACAGACAGCGATTACCCGAGGTGATGAGGAGATTAAATTCCGTCTCACTTTGAAAAATCTGCTCTACAAGACAAATTACTTCTGTAAAGAAAGTTTTCATCATTGTATGACAGTAGGGTCGTGTGCCATAACATGATTATGTGCCTGCGTTAGGTTGTTTGTGTTCATTATGCGCTGCGATGAACGTCTGAGATGATTTATTTTTCCATCTGTGTCTCTGCCTGCCTCTTACAAAGCTTATCAGCAAATATAAAATGATAGATATATACTGTTCTCGAGATTTGAATTAAAATCGGGAATGACTCACTTGAGAGAAATAAGCCCTTTTTAAGGTTGTAAATTACCCCTAAGGTTGCACCTCCCTAGATTCCTGTATGCCTTGCTGGGTAACATTTAACATGATTCATTATGACAGTCATTGAAAGAAAGGGTTTAAATTTGGACTCTTGTGGCACTCATTCTCAATGTGGATTAATAGAAGAGTATAGATTGGTGACAATGGAACAATAACGTTGGTGACAATATAATGTTTTCATTGTATAATATATGTACCTCGAGGGACTTTTTCTTGATGAACATGTATGCTTACACTTGAGAAATGTGTCCATATCATAGCCTTTATGTAGCCTGTGCACTCAATCCCAGACGTGAACTGGACAGCACAACACCATTTAACAGTAAATGCAGCAACAGGTATTAGAACCTGTTCCAAATCAAAAATGAGTTTGGTGTGGCCAGATTAGCATGGTTATTTGGCCCCTATTAAAGAACATCTTCCTTCTATCCACGACCCGTCCTTTGTGCATGTATACTGCTCAATTCCCCTTAATGCCAATGCACGCATCTCGCATTTCTTGTCAGTGAGATAAGGCCCCCCAAGGGCTTAGAGGCTACAAGATAACGGTATACAGATTATTACATAGAGTTGAAAGCTGATATCGATATTGTTGACATTTGCCTTTATCATTGCCAATGATAATGATATAGCTTATATTTAGAAATGAGTGAGTCATCTATTAATCAGAATCAGGATACCTTTATTCGTCCCACAGAGGGGACATTTAAATTTGCTACAGCAGAAAAGAGCCAAAGACAGCTTAATGTCTGTTAATCCGTCAACAGGTAACATTCATTCTAAACTTTAAAGGGGTTATTCCAGCACTTTTGGAGTAAGGTTGAGAACGTTGTGATGAAGAGAGAGGATGGTGGAAGTGTTGATAAATGTTTGATATTTGAGTGTGCTTAAATGTATCGTCTATGATTTTCCCACAATAAACAGCACAACACAAACTGAGAGAAGCAAAACACTCTAAAGACTGCAAATAACAGAAGTTCTTTGTAAAGTTTGATTGGCAGGAGCTCTCCGAAGTCACAGCTATATTGACGTCAGACGGCACATGTATCATCTTCTATTAGAAATATCCAGTAAACAATGTTGATTTCTTGTATACTAACTGCAACAACAAAAACATCTATGTATCTGCTGCACAATATACTGTATGTGATCCAGGACGGTTGTATAATGTGGCCAATTGATGTGTTTAGATTCAGGTCTCAGGCTGACCTTTCTGTTTCTGCAATCAGATAGCAAACTACAAAATCTATTTAACATAATTCTGCCCACGCACGCAGGCTCAAATGTGATTCAAGAAACCATTGATCTGGTGAACAACAGCCAGTGTGGGCAAAGGTATGAGAGTGTATGTGTGATATAAAAGCTGGCCATTGATTTCTTTAGCGGCTGGTCAGGCTAAGGCATTGATCGACAGAAGGTAAAACAGTCAGGGTGTTACAATGACAGAAGGTAGAGCACAGTCTGATTGACCTAGAGCAGAGAGAAGAGAAAAGGCTGCACTGTGCGATCATCCACTCCACCGCTCTTCACCAGACCATCTAATTACAGCATGGTTCTCTTACATAGAGCTGTGTTTTATGTCAAAGTGAGTCCCAGTCTGCCAACATTTTTTTTCCTCACAGTCATATGTATCTGTCCTGATGACCCAGCCCACCTGTTGTTACCACCAAGCTGAGCTGATCCACACACACACACACAAACTCAAGGACACCAACTGCTGCTGAGTCCTCCTCCACACCAAAGGAATGGACAGAATTAGAACGATGTGGGTGCAGATACTGACTGGTGTTTGAGGGCGAATGAAAGGCGACAGAGGCACTGTGGATAGTGTGAGTCATGAAATAAAGAAACAAACATAATAACGAATAGGTTGCTTATAAAGTCAGCTTGTTTGGTACCATTGGTAGGAAGTTCCTTAGTAACACTAAACTACTGTACTTTTATACAGTAGCTACTTTACACTTACAGCACTTCATCTCAGAGGTCAATACTGCACTTTTTATTAACTTTTCCTATTAGGTTGAAACATCATGATAAGCTTTTAGAGTATGTGTCATGCTTCAGATTTCTATACATTGTAGATTTCTGTTTTTATTTATTTGATGTCTAAACTCTTCAGATGGTTTCATACAAATAAAGGTTGAAGGCCCAAAGAGGTAGATGATCCAATATTTCACAATGATTACAGAAAGCTCCAAATGCGTGTACAATGGTGTTGTTGTCGTGTCATAACCACTAGACTGCACATTTTAGGCCTTTATACAATAGTCAAAGTAGCTCTTTGGTTTGTGTGTCAACCAATCCTCAGTCATATATTTGTGATATTACTTTATCTTACTGTTTGAACATGCAAAAATGATAACATTTTATTACATGTACTGCACTTTGGCTCGACCAAAAATCACTTTTAAATGTGCTATATAAAGAAAACTTGATTTGATTTGATAAATCCCTCACATGACACAATTATTCTTTGATATTTTCTCTTAGTTTACTTCAACACATTTGTCAAGGAGGTCTGATAAACCAAAACAGACTTTTGTGTGGAAGTGGCTACAGCGCAGTATTTGAAAACAAATTAGGATTTCAAAGTTGATTTCTACTGAAGAGGATTACAGCCACATATGATTTTTTTTTTTTTTAGATCTGACCAAAAGGACATTTTTTAGTTCTTGGACGCAAGCAATAATTATTTTCTTTTTTTTTCAGACTGAAAACATAAAATTCAAAATGTTCACCTCGGCCCTAGTCCTCTTTCTTCTCTACAGAGTAAAATAAAAATGACAATGTGCAGATAAACAACATAGATTATAACACAAATGTTCATCACTTTTGGTGTTCTCGACCATAACATTAATATTCCTCAAACAACATTACATTTGCAGTTCTCTAAGGTATAACGTTTGGGAGCATGCCCTGAGCAGCAGCTAACCTTTAGTAGATATTAAAATTCGCAATAAGAAAAAACAACCAGTTAGACCTCCAGCCTTCAGTGGTGTCTGATCAGATCATTATTCTAAAGTTCAGCCACAGTGACATGGATTTCCACATTACCTTGGGAGTTTGCCGGATGTTCAGTGATAACCTTCAGTCCTTCAAAGGATCTGGAAATGCACCGTTACCATGGAAACGTGCATGTAACTCCTTCGTTAAATCCTCTTTGGCCCCAGTTGATTGTGAGAAAAAGACGATGGAGGCAACGCTCAAATCCAGGCAGCAAAAAGCGCACAGCAATTGTAGTTAAGCTGGATCACAGCAGGTCTAAAAATACACTCAAACCTACCCTACAGGGGAGAATGGAAAGAAATCCAGTAAACAGGCCGTTTGAATTTTTGAGTTTGTGTTTAATTCAACGTTCTTCTTGAAGGATTTAGTTTGTGTCCAAGAGTCAAAGTTTTTGGAGATTCAGTTTGAACTGCTGAAGAGAGTGAGACAGAAAGACAGGAGCAGGGAGAAGGAGGTGACCGACTGCGAGTCACCCTGCCCCCTCTGAGGGTCCAAAATAGAGAGATAGTGGAAGAGAAGGGAGGGACAGTGCTTGAAGAAAAAGAGTGAAGAGGAGCAAAAGATCAAAGGATGGAGAGGAGAAAAGGATAAAGCGAAAAGATAAAGGTGTAAAAGTATCCTGTGCTTTGTGTCTTGGCAACACAGAGCTTATTAATCATGTTAGAAGGATTGGAGGCAGACAGAGGCAGCTATCATCAGCTATTCTGCTTTGAGGGGCACATGACCTGACTTATACCGACCTGTTCACTGAAAATACCCCCTAACACCTGTAAAGTGACTGAAAAAGTGCAATCATTAATTTCGTGTCATTTACGAAATATTTTAGTTCTATTTTCTGAATAATAAACCCTTGGTTGGTCCCCCAATAACAACATCACCAGTTGTTGTACTGTAACACAACAGGAGAGCAGGCAATTTCATTTTGTGCCCTCAACAAAAAAACATTCCCAGAACTTTAAAATTCGTAATCTCGCAACCATTCGTGCACTTCCTCCAAGGGATATGTCCTCCTAAGTACCCCGTCTTGTCAAACAGCGGCCAAAATAAAGAGTAAATAAGTGAATAAATATCTAGGAGAACCCAATGCGAGTTTTAAGGTCCTGTCAGAAGCTGTTTTTAAGACCCAGTTTGAATGAGGGTGTGTGTGCATTGGGAATAAGTAACCTGACCCCCAGTCTTGCCGTGGGAGCCTGCTCTGCAGAGGCTATAATTAGAGGTACAGACAGCAGCTGGTGTTAACATTGGACTGGACTGCTTTATATTTAGGACGCAGAGAGGGGGCTGTGGGCTGGAGGACGCTACACACACACACATAACATTTGAACAGAAAACAACAGGCATTACTTGTTATTGCGCCATTCCTTGGAATGTTGTTAAAACAAATATGTTGATATGTATTACAATTTTAAAATGATCATGAATTATTTGACACGCGTATTGTACTTCCCACATTAGACTAGCATTCCACTGTAGTCCAAAATACAATGAAAGTGGGGAAATTAAAAACATATCTCGAGCCATTATCCTTTCCTGTGTTTTTCTCTTGGCAAGTGCAAAAAATATGTATTTTTCTTGATTTTCGAATAATTATATTCCTTCATCTTGTTTTCATCTCTTCTTGCACTTAGGGGCATGCACATTAAGCACATCCTTAGTTTAAATGTCCCTGCTTCCCTGAAAAACACTAAAAGGTTAGTTTCCATGTTTTTGCACAGTACAAAGAAAAAAAATATCAGCCAAAGCAAGAGAAACTGACAAAAACAAACTGTTCCCAGTTGCTGATGTTTATTTAAAATCAGTCAAGGTACTTATAACATGGCTCATCCACTTAATGAATGTTAACCGTCGGCCTCCTTTAGTTTTTTTGTTATTTATCTGTCATTTAATTATTATTTTTGACTGCTGCTATATATATACACACACACACAAATGCGCACACACACAAATGCCCACCCCCGTGAGATGTGTTCTGATGAAACCAACCATCCAAAGTAATCTGATGAAACCAACAGCAATCAACTAGAACAACGCTCATGTCTGCGCCACATTATTCAGTATGAGTGTGTGTGTGTGTCTGTGATTGTGTGTGTGTGTTTGACAGAGAGACGCATCCTGAATAATTCCCTCCATCTGTAACTCGATGTATTGAAGAGATAACACACACACAGAACATCCTGGTAGCTGTGAGATTTGGGAACGTTTTACGACACTACACTTCTGAGCATCACACTCAAAACTGGAGGATATTTTTGGCTCGTTTAAATTGTCAGCCCAGAAAACTTTACAGCACCTCCGGCTCTGGCTGAGGTTCAGAGCTTCGGACAGCAGAAGAGCTATCTGGTCCGGCTGAAGCCTGCTCAGCACCCTGGACAGGGAACAAACCCCCACACCTGTGTCAGCTGGGCTACACGGCTGGCTGTGATCAGGACCAAGAGGCTGCTCCAACACCCCAGGGCGAACTGTTGCACTTCCAGCAGCACTTCATGTAGAGCCAATCAAGAAAGGCTCTGCATTGTATGACTCATACTTCCATGACTTTCAGCCAACTTGAACAGTTCTTGTACATCACTAACGGCATGACCTCCAGTCCTTTAAGACTCCAATTTCTGTTCAGGTCTGAGTCAACTAAAAGCTTTTTATCGTCACCAGTAAGCAGATAATCGATTTTTCTACTTTTCTAAAAACCTGACATGTGGTATGAACCCTCTACAACACGCAGGTCTTCCGACTTGTAGTTGCAGACTTAGGGGTTAATTGAAAACACCGGAAAGCTGCATTTTATCACAACATCACTAACTGTCGGTGGTAGGTATTTCTGAGGAGGAAGGGATTCTTATTCAATGAGGTTTGAGGGGGGAGGTTTTTTGGGGGGGGGCTGCTGCACATACTACCACAAGGTTGGTTTTCATAGTTTCCATGCAGACATTAAATGTTGACTTTTCTACTTTTTTCACTGCTTCACCTCAAATGTAATTGGTGTATTGGCGAAACTTCAACTCATATGCTTCGTAAAATCAATTGTGTTTTAGGCTTTCTATTTGTTGCCTCATGTTTCATTTAATAAAGTGGTTAGATATGTTCCATGCAGATATTATTGGATTCATCTGATCTACTTGACATGACATAATGCTGCTTCGGTTCCTAAATATTTCCCTGTATGAACCTAGAATTTGTGTGAAACCACTTACCTGTTTATGGTGTATGAAAGCATTAGGATAAAAGGCTCACTAAAACACAATGTCAGTTGACATGTAGTGTGTGAAAGCACGCCGTTGCGAAATTGTAAGTGATAACGAATTCAAGTATAAATAAATGAGAAGGTTGACTCTCCTGTGAAGCCTGTGATCAGTGTTTAGACACAAACTCCAGGTCTGAACATTACTCTCAATACACACCATAGTTCAATCAGATAAGATGTAAAAGCTATGAAAGCGTTTTGATAAATTACAAACAGTTACACAATATATCACTGTACCTGTGTGGTTGGCGAGACATTGTGTGACGAAGGTAACTTTGTCAATGTTAACTGACGGCTTCGGTAATATTGCACATGTGGGTTTGCACAGGACAAATGTCGCTCAGCACTTTAGTGAACAGTTTGCACTTTATTACCGTAATTTGCACAGTACAGTTAAACATTGCACATTTGAACATTTTTATACTATTTATTGATGTAGTATATATTAAATGATTAAACCGAAAGTGTTTGTTTTTGTAAGATTGACAGCGGTTGAGATTAGTCATTGTGTGCAATTGATATGTTTTAGCGTGTAAATCATGATGTAAATTTGCATTAATTATACAAGTTACCACCGTGTTATTCTGTTCAGTTATAATGTTTGTGTTTGAAAAGTGTTCCCCCTCCCGTCTTGTCTGTTGTTGCTGATTGTGTTCACCTGGTGCCCTGTGTTGTCTCCTCCCCCCTCACCTGTGTCTTGTTGGTTGATTAGTGTGTGTGTGTGTATTTAGGCTCTGTTTTCCCTGTCAGTGGACAGGTAGTGTGTGGGAGATCCTTGTGGCTGCTGACTGTGTTCAGGGACAGTAATATTAAGGCTGGTGACTATGTGCACATGAGAAATAAATGCCCACACCAGGTTATATTTGAACTCTCTGCCTCTGCCTCCTTGCTTGGTCGGGCCGCTCAACGGTCAGTCTCACACATTGTATTTTTAATAATTGCTCCATAGTGTTCCTTGGTACAATGTAATTCCAGCTCTGTGCTCTACTTCAACACGACTGGAGGTTTAATTAAGCAGATAAGTGAAAAAGACCTGTGCAGGGCCTTTAAATAGAACAGAGCTCTCATTAATGATATTAGTCACACCTGAGCTTTCTGCTATCAGGATGCATGAACATTAAATAATGGCCGGTTTTTGTCATTTCTTCTAGAAGCAAGTCATATATTATATCTTAATCTGTGAATAGTGGTGGGACATATCTTGGTACATTGTACTAACATTCCTACTTTGATCAATGTTATACTTCGACTTCGTTACTACTTTAGAGATGATAATTAAAAAATGTTTTTCCATGAAAACCACATACCTCCAGTCCAAATGTGTTGGTTTTGTTATTATTTTCCGATAAGCTGAATTAAATGAAAGGGTTCCTTTTTGGGTTGAAAAAGAGACCTTTAAGGCTGAATAAACTTTGAAGCCTCATTGTTGGAAAGTACATTTTCACAAAGCTGTAAATAGTGTTATTTTGAGCTTGTGAAAAAGTGTTTTTTTAGAAATATGTGGTTTTTACAGGACATAATAGAATAGAAAAGGTTGCATTACTGTATAATAAAACTATCAAATAACATCTACAACAGTAAAACACAACCTACAAAACAATGTTATATTAATCCAAAACGTATTGTCTCAATGTAACAAACTGACAGGGAACATCTCTGCACCATTTTTCGGTTTGCTCCAGTTTTTGATAAAATAACATAATTTGACTCACGTAAGGTTTTGAATGAAGCACTTGAGTCTTTTCACAGCTTGGTATTACTCCAACCTAAGTAAAGGATTGAAATGCTTCATCCACCACACTGGTATCGACTAATAAAGCCCCTTTTCTGTATGTCTTTCAACACTAAATGTATTTTGGGTCCACTTGGGTGTTAGTACAGCTGCTCACAGAGCTGCAGCGGCCTGTTTTGGACTTGCAGACAGCCCCAGGCATTGAACCAGCAGAGGACAACGAGTGCACCGAGTCTGTGATTAAAACACAAGTGAAGAAGACAACAGTCACACTCCGACCATACTGTACATCTCTGTCTCTCCGTAACTCTCTCTGCGTCTTCATTACTGCATGACTCCTTCACCTATACTTGTGTTTTGTCTTCCTGTTTTCTCTAACCTTGTACCTCCCCCACGGTCCTTCCACACTTCTCTCTGCTTCGCTAACATGATGTCCTTCTTTCCCCCTCACCTCTTGGTCCACTCTCCCTCTTTCTTTCTTCTTCACCCTGTTCTAGTTTCGCTTGCTTT